GTACAATATTTTTGGTGAAAATTTAACCATATATTGCCAGTTCATATTAAAACAGTCCTGCTTATTTTCAACACGAAGTTTCCCTTGGAGTATCGACATATTTAGACTAAGAAATATTCATGTGTGAGTGTGGGCAGTTTTTAAAGGACTTAACAAGGTATTTTTATGAAGTTATTTTAGTAAGCTACACAAAAACATTGGTTGACTTTGAATCATATTAAGTAGAGAAGCGTACACCAAACAGTATGAAATAATAATCTGCCTAAATTTCCCCCTGAAATCTACACCTGTATAGCCAAACCTATATCTGCCTGCTTGTCACTTTTATGTCAAATTCAGAACTTCAGTGTTTAAGAGTTAAAGCTTTATTTTCTCCATCACTGACCTTCTCTTACATTTCTTGGTAGTGTGATAGCACGGCTGCTTTGTTGGTTAATTACTTCAGCAAACGTGTTGAGCCCCGGCACCATGCTAGCCGCTGTGCTGGGCGCTGTCATACATGGTGAGCACAGCAGATGTGGTCCTGACGCACAGCCTGACAGTAGGTGGCGAATAAATAGTATGTAATTATGCTTTGCGTTAGGTGCGACGAAGGAAACAACCTGGGGGCTGTCGTCAGTCATTGGAGGGCAGAGGAGCTTCTACCGCAGGGGTCAGGGACGGCTCCTCTAAAGCTTGTCGTTGCAGCTGAGGGCCCCCAGCTACCCAGCTGCTCAAGCTTGGGAGTCTCCCCGATCTTGCCTCTTACCTCCCGTCCTGTCCCTGTCAGTCCTGCCTTCTGAGTCGCTCTCGCGTGTGGCCCCTCTTCACCCTCTCAGGCCTCTCCCTGGGCCAGGCCGTCAGCACCTCTTGCATTGATAGGAGTTACCAGAACAGTGTTCCGGTGGCGCTGCATCACCTGCTCCCGCCTCGCTCGTTCCGCTGCCCCCTCTCTCTTGCTGCTGCTCTGCTGCACCCCGTACGCTGAGGGAACCTAAGCCTCGTAGCGATGATACGCTTCCAGCTTCTGTGCCTTCGCCTGTCCGTCGTTTCTGTCTGGCCGGCTCCTGTTGCTCGCTCCCGGGTCAGGGTCTCCGGGGAGCTTCTCTTCCTCCCTACTCCCCTCTCAGGTGGAGTTAGGTATGCCTTCCTCAGAGCACTTCGCACACCGCGTGGTAATGGTCATTGCATTGGTATGTTTTGGACGTGGCACATTTTGTTCTTATTTTATGTTCACGTTAGAGTGCTTACTGCTTAGAGCATTAGTGCTTGGGTCTTGGTCCCTGTGAGAATTTCATGAGAGCTCTGGGCCTTTCCCTTGAGTGATGCGTGTACACGCACGATTATGTGCGGCGTTGGTCCAGCCACGACTCAGGTAAGAATCCCTGATCCAGGGCGTCTCTTTCCCCCGTAGGCTTTGGCCGTCTGTCACTGCTGCTGTCCCTTCCATTTTTCTTCCTGTTTTGATGCTGGCATTTCCTTCCTGTCTTTGCTTTTTCACCCTGCATAGTTCCAGCTTTGGTGTTTTTTAATAGGCTTATTCCCACCTCTGCCCTTCCAGTTCCTGTGCTCACATCACCAGCGCCCATCCTCTCAGATTAATGTTACTTAGTTCCTGGATCATTGAAAGTTTTTCTTTCCCTCCCTGCTTCTGATGGTAAATTGGGAAAGTTCTTAGTTAACATCCTGTGCATACTTATCACCGTGTAATTGATATTTTTATTGAGAGGCAACAGAGAGCTCTTATGAAATGTATCAGGCTTGCATATCTAAGGAGGACCGACCTATGCTTTGTGAAAAAATTATAGTAATATGGATATTTCCCAAGTTCCCAGTGTAACAGAAGTGAATAACATAATAGTTTGTCAGCTTTGTCTATAGATGTGAGTTATTTTCAGACCAAGGCAAAACTTTCAGACATTATCTTTTAGACATTAGTGAGAAAATAATGCTATGTTTATCTCTCATACAAGAAAGAATTTTTTTTTTCTAATTAAAGTACATTGAGAAAATAGCTGAGGTAAATAGTTAGAAATAAATTCTGAATTGAGAATATTTTTTCCTGTATGTCTGTGTATTGTGTGTGTGTGTGTTTTAATTGAAGTAAAATTGACTGCTTTGTCGTTTTCATACAGTTCTCACTAATGGATGATTGCTGTAGGCACAAACTCATTTTGATTAAATTTATTTGACTATAGAAGGCTAGAGCAATGAGAAAGTGCTTCCTCAGTTCCACCTGGAAGAATTTTAAGATAACATTTAACTTGAGCACAGTGACTTTTGCCTTCCTAGGGTTTGATGATAAAGCTGTGTTGCTGTTTTTTACATCAGCTGACTAATAGATCTAGTTTGTCCAGAGCCCAGTTTGCCATCTGATAATATGTTTAGTGAAGCAACATATTGAATTCTTTATGCCACATTAAGGCCAGTTCTATGCATAGTGCCACTTACTTTTAAGTAATTTATTAAATACAGTCACTGCATTTGTTCTACCTACTTATTTTCACATCCTGACAAAGTAGGTTAGTATCTTAAATAATTTTCAGACTATCCTGTTCTAAAATGACAGCAAAGTAAACAGTTCCTTTTTTGTGGTATTTATAGCATCGTATCACTTGGTTTGACCAGGAAGTCATAAATCATTTTTCCAGTGCTGATTTGTAGCGTTCATGTGGAAGTTTAATTTGATTTTACCTTATGGCTGCTATTCCTTGAGAAGACCAAGTGGTTTTTTGTTTTTGTTTTTGTTTTTTTGCGGTACGCGGGTCTCTCACTGTTGCGGCCTCTCCCATTTGCAGAGCACAGGCTCTGGACGCACAGGCTCAGCGACCATGGCTCACGGGCCCAGCCACTCCGTGGCATGTGGGATCTTCTCAGACCGGGGCATGAACCCGTGTCCCCTGCATCGGCAGGTGGACTCCCAACTACTGCACCACCAGGGAAGCCCAGACCAAGTGTTTAATTACAAAAATAACTGAAAAAAACTTTACAGAAGTATTAGGAAATTATGTTCTTAAGGTAGTCTAGAACTAACCGTATTACACACTGTGACTGATCTTTTCTTTTAAGCTAATATTTAGAGTACCAGATCATTTTGATTTAGCCCTATGTAAGAATTTGGACTTCACTGTCTGTATGAATGATCTATAAACAGTAATACCTCTGTTCCGTATCATAGGGTCAAGAGAAATATGGATTATTAAATGTAACAAAAATTACTGAAAATGGGAAAAAGGTTCGGTAAGTACACAGATCATTAATGTTCTCACGTTTCATCTGATTGATATAAATAAAAACTGAATATAATTATATTCTAGTAGAAGTGATTAACAGGTTCAAAGAATTTCAAATGTGTTTTCTGATATGATGGATATAAGATTGTCAGGAAGTAGAGGAAAATTTTTCTTTGTCTTGACCTATTTCTAAAGGTGAGATTAAATTCAGAGGTGATAAGGCGGAGGATTCTGAGCAGGCATTAGCTTTATTAAAATTTTTTTCAATAAGTAATAAATGCACATGGCAAAATACAAACATACACAAAACATGTAGTCAAAAGTCAGTCACCAGCCATCAGTTTCCCTCCCCAGAGGTAACCAGTTATGTCTAGTGAGATGTACTGTCTTCCTCCAGAGATAGAAAATAGATATATTTACATGAGCATAGATTAATTTTTTTTAACACAGTCTTTTAACAGTTTATCTTGGAGATGGTGCTATTTCATTGCATGTACAGCTGACACATAGTTTTTAACTGCTGCCTAGTTGTATGGCTGCATCATAGTTTATTTAACTGTTATTTATTTGCAGGTATGTCTATTGGTAGACATTTAGGATGTTTCCATTTTTTGCTATTACAAACAGTATTATCCTCAATGTCTTGCACGGTTCATTTTGCAAGTATGTAGATATGCCTGTAGAACATATTTTATGAAAGTGGAATTGCTAGGCCATATGCAGTTGGACATTTTCATACAATTCCAAATTGTGCCCTAAGGCCCTCAGTCAGTTCCAACCTCAGGAGCCTTGGATTTCTCCATGCCTTTGCCCATTCAGTATGTTGTCAAACTCTTTGATCTTTGCTAATAGAGATTTGAGAGAAAATGGTGTTTTTACTTGGGGTAGAGTACCACAGGCCATTTATATTTCTTTTTTGTTGTTGTCCTCGAATTATCAGTTTATACCCTTTGTCTCTTTTTCTGTTGGGTGGTTGGTTTTTTTTGGTTAATAAATTAAGGAAATTAACTCTTTGTAAGGTAAGTTCCATTTTCCCCAGTTTTAAAAAACCGCTGAAATGCTAGGGTTTTATAGCCAAAGTGAGATCAGTATGTTGTTTAAGAAAGAGTTTAAAATTTACATGTAGTTGAGTTTTTTAGATTTGCTTTAATTGAACTGTCTTTGTCAGATTTTGGTACTTGGAAGTTTTTCTTTTAAGTGCTTTGAAATAGCTTTACAAATACTGCAATTACCTGTTCCTGAAGCTGTTCCTTGGTAGAAGTCATGTGAATTGGATCTTTTTTTCTTTTCTCCCTTTTGGGCATATGTAGTGCAGGTAGGTCTTTGGCCACTTTCCCTGTTTTCATTGCTGTCATTTTTCCTGTGATAATTAGTTTTTTAGATTTTCTACTTATTTTGGAATGCTTTTTGGAATACTTTTCCTAAGAATATCATCCATTTCATTATATTCAAATTTATTTATATAGAGCTGAGCACAGTGGTGTTTTAATTTCCTGTATTTTAGTGTTTATCAAACATTTTGTTCTGAGGACCTCTTTAAACTCTTAAAAAATTATTGGTTAGTGCAAAGAACTTTTGTCTATATAGTTTATCTAGAATTATTTACTGTAAGAAATTAAAACTGAGAAATTTTAAGAATCTCTATTAACTCTTTTAAAACTAATAACCTGTTACATGTTAACATGAATAACATCTTTTATGAAGAAAACCCCCTGTATTTTCTCATGCAGAAAACTTCCATGAGAAGCGTGGCATTGTTTTATGTTTTCAGAGATCTTTACTATTTGGCTTAATGGAAGACACCTGGATTCTCATCTCTGCTTGCAGTCAGTCTGTTGCAACATATTGTTTTGGTTGAAGTATATAAAGAAAATGCTCCTTTACATAGATAAAGTTGGAAAAGGGAGGAATATTTTAATAGCCTTCTCAGATAATTGTGCGTATTTTTCTGCTACACCAAAATGCCAAAAGTGTTAGTTGCAATGAAGATTCTGAAAAACTATCCTTGAACTTTCAGTACTCAGTTACATTAAAATCCATGGGCCTGTGTTGCATTGTGAATGAATCTTTACCTATGCATAATTTTGTAGCATCTTGTAGGTCATTTGGAAAATACTGGTTTACTAAGTTTGCCGATTTTTCAAATGTTGGCACATTTTATTTTATAATATCAAAGAATCATAAATCAGTAATATCATCATCAAAGTCACTAAGTTTTGGAATATTATCAGCCTCACAGTGGCAGATGTGCCAAGTTTTCCAAAATTCTGCTTTTTTCTGTTTGAAAGCTTTGCTGTTGTGAACATATGCTATCATTTATTTTCCTTGAAATGAAAGGCTCACTTCATTTATTTTTGAGATAATGTCTACCTGCCAAGTAGTCAAGTCTAAATAATCAGTGTATCCGTCAGTTGTTTGTTCAGGAAGAAGTTGGTTCCATGAAAAGGTGTGACTAATTCTACCTGCAACTCAATATTTGGATACTGTCATTCATTCAGTATCCAAATATTCAATATTTGTTCTGAGATGGACATTCTACAGTTTTTTTGATTTTGAAAATTAAACTCAAAAAGTTTATTTAAAGTGGAAATACATATATATATATATTTTTTTAAAGCATAGAGAAGTTAGATATTGTCTAAAGAAATATAAGATGGAATATAAAATAAATTTACCAATGAAAATAAATCCTTCCAAAATATCTGGAGGTCCACACAGAACAAAATAATAAAATAAAATGAAAATATAATAAAATGATGACAGAACAGGTACCAAACATATGTGTCGTATCAGTATAAATAAATGTAAATGCACTATATTCATCCGTTGAAAGAAAAAGGTGCTCAGACTGAAACACGAAGCAAAACCCAATTCAATATTACATGCAAAAGAGACATCTGAAAAATGATTCAGAAAAGTTAAAACAAATAAAAATGCATATCAAAGGCACAAAAAGTAAAGCAGGAATAGGGATCTTAATAGCAGACAGGTTCAACTCAGGGGGAAGGCACTAAGCATCTTTAAAATGATGAAGCACTGTGGATCAATCCACAGTGAAGATCTCATCATTAGAAATAGCCATCCACTGAGTAAGTAGTGTTAATGACCATAAGCAAAGCAACAGGAAATAAAAGGAAAAATAGAGATTCAGTAGGAGTAAACTTTATTTCACTTTTCAAGTTCAAGTGGACATAAAAAGTCATAAAATAATCAAGTAGGTCTAATTGGGAGATATTAAATTCTACATTCTGAATATGGAGAATAAACCTTCTTTTGAGTGCCTATAAAGTTTTCACAAAACTGGCCATATGTTTGGCTGTAAGGTGAGCCTTAATAAATTCCTGTGGAAGATACGTTTGACGTTCGTTTTAGCCTGCCGGCAATTAAACTGCCTTATAACGTAAACACTGGTTACCTCTGGAGAGGCGGTTGAAGGAGAAGAAATGGGGCCTTTTTCTGTATACATTTCTACGTTCAGAGTTTTGATATAGTATGTGTGTTGATTTTGTAATTTAGGAAAGATTTTTTAAAAGCCTCATTTTAGTAATAGTAACCTTAGTTATCAACCAGCATGTAATTTATACGATCTATCGCTTACCTGGTGTAGCCTTATTAAGGGAAGGAAGATAACTAAGAGATATAAAACAATCTGTATCTACAGAGAATTAGGTAAGATGAGCATGTTTGTCGAATTTTTAATTGTGAATAAGAATTCTTGCCAAATGCAGTGTTCAGTTCATGTGACTCTAAATTAGTGCCCTTGATCACAAATGTGCTGGATTACCCCCGTGTGCACATAGTTAGGTGTGTAGTTATTCTGATAACTTAACATCTCTCATTGACTTCATTAGTTTTGGGACCATAAAATGATTGTAATTTCCATTAGAATTATATCCCCAATAAAAACAATTAGAATGTTAGTATGACTGTAAATTGTGGACAACATTGATAACAGCTAAGTAGGTTTTACGTTTTTAAATTTGGTGGGAAAAACTGGATATGGAGCTTTAATTGGCCGTCTTTATCATTACAGAAAGAACTGGTTGTCTTCTTGGGCCGTGTTGCAGGGTTCGTCTTTACTGTTTACCAAAACTCAAGGAAGCAGCACAAGTTGGGCAAGTATTTCTTTTCTTTGGAGGCTTTTCTACATTTAAATTACGTGGATGGTGTTGCACCTGAACTTCACAAAGTATTCCAGAGTCCTCCAAGCTACCGCTAGCTTGCAAATAAGAGTAAATGAGGTTTTCTTAGTTAAAGATGCATTTTGACTCACAAGAGAAAGAAGAGGGCTACTTAGAAAAGTCTGACTCATATTGTTAAAACCAACCAATTATATTTTATGCATTGAACTGAAAAGGTGACCTTACTACTTGGGCATTAGAGAACAGATATATTTCTTGGTCTGTTTTCAGGATGCCAAAGCTTTCCTGTGTCTGTGACTTGGCTCTTTCAGATATTTAGTCAGAAAATAAAAAGTCATGTGACAAGCCCCACCTTGAATTGTGATCTGACCCTTGGATACTAGTCAGGTTTCCACGTCTATATATGATATCAGCCAGCTTTGAGAAGAAAAAGAAATGTCACCATTACTTCTGGGACTTTGAAGCTTTTTGTATATTTGAGTGTTTACTATTGTTACTCCTTGGTTATTTGTAATACAAATACCAAAAATTGTAATTTGTGACATATCATAATAGCTAACATTTTTTGAATGCTGAAAATGTATTAGGTACTGTTCTAAGTGTAAAGGATGGTATATATATTATCCTCTTAACTCTGGGAGAGTACTGTTTATCATTCCCTCTCCCCCTGTTGGAGATGAGGAAATGAAGTATAAAACAGTTCAGTGCCTCGCCCAAGGTCTTATAGCTACTAAGTGACAGATCTGGGTACCATTTTGGCTCCAGAGTCCATGCTCTGGGTATTTCCAAAAAGGTTTTAAAATGAAATTCATCTAATGCTTTTAGTCTGCTTTATATCCTGCCTTAACCAGTATTTCTTACAATTACGGAGTTGATTTAAAATTAACAGGACCTATTGACTTTACATTTGATAAAAGAGAAATCCATTTGTAAAATTCAAGCAAATTTTAGTCGTCTACATTTACAGTGCAGCCATGTAACATTGTTCTGAGCCAGGAGTGCCACAGAGCATATTAGTCCTCAAATACTCTGATATGGCAACCCCCCAAATCTGCTGGATTGAGCATGAATATGAACTTTCTGGAATGTTTCTTCTCTTTTGCTTCACTGATGCTTTGATTTACTCTCTGGTCAGCCAGTACAGTGGAACTGACCTGTGATATGCTTTCCAGATGAAAAGACTGAAATTTTTGTTTGACTTGTCTTAAAGTAAATTGATAATTATTTCTCCTTTTTCCCCTGAGGTGAAGCATATGGTACTTTTTTGTTTATATTAATGCATTTCTAGAAGAAGATGCAGTTATTTCTTCTTCCTACTTGTGGCTCAACTTTTGTCTCTTTTTTTTTTTTTTTTTTTTGCGGCGAGCAGGGGCCACTCTTCATTGTGGTGCGCGGGCCTCTCACCGTCATGGCCTCTCCCGTTGTGGAGCACAGGCTCCGGGCGCGCAGGCTCAGCGGCCATGGCTCACGGGCCCAGCCGCTCTGCGGCACGTGGGATCCTCCCGGACCGGGGCACGAACCCGTGTCCCCTGAATGGGCAGGCGGACTCTCAACCACTGCGTCACCAGGGAAGCCCGTGGCTCAACTTTTATTTGAAACTGAGTGAAGTGAATGAAAGAAAAGGAATGGAGAAGCAATTAGAGATTAAAATAATAAAAAAGTTGCTGAAGAAAGCTGGATAATGGTCATTTATTTGATAATTACTGACCCCTAAAGATTGAAGGTTGTGGTATATACAGATAAAGCAAGTACATAGATCACTGTGGTAAGTGAGGTATCATTGAGGTAGGCAGATATGTATGTGATTTAAAGAAAATGAAATTAAAAAAAAAATTGAAGATGTTAAGTGAATACCCTGGCACAGAACCATTAGTACAGTCTGGTTGCATTTTATGAAGGTCTCTTGAGGACCTTACATAATTCAGAACTCATGATTAAAACTAATGCCGACAGAGGGTGTGGGGTATTTCTGTTTATCAGCTAAAGTTGTGTTATAGCATTACCATGTGGTAATAGCAGAAGCGTAGCTTAAAATTCACTGAGCTAGCCAATTTTGAAATTGGAGAATTCCTAATGGAGTTTTAACTTTAGAGATTCACTCTTTGAATTTTTGCCTTTAAATGAAATTTTATTAATATGTTGTTAATAATACAGTACATTATGGTAATCATTTCAGGTTGGTATAATTAAATAAAATATAGTCACACGGTGTTTTATAGTCTTAAAAACTAAACAGATATGATAAGATGTTTGGTTATACGGTCAATTCTTAATTTTTATTTTATGGCTAATTAAAAAATCTCAAACTGCCTTGCTTTTTCTTCCCATATGTAACACATATTAAGGGAACGAAAACTAATTTAAGTGGCCTAAGTAAAATCTAGTAAGATTATTCAAATAAAAAGTGTGTTAAGTATGTGTAATATATTTTGGCATATACAACACTCATGAATATTAAAAATTGATGAAATATGCAAGATGCGTCTTAATTAACTCAGTAATTAGGATTGTTCAAAAAGGGTTTGAAAGAATCCTAGCTTTGTTTCCCTGCTCGGACACCAGCTAGATCTTTCGTAGGTAAAATGTTATCCTGTTTATACAGTGAAATCACGCCTAACCTGAGGCTAACACATAAGCCCAAAGGGCAAAAATCACCTGTAGTGAAAATTTCCCTTGAGTGTCTCTCAGGAAGATGCTGTGAGAAGTCAGTCTCTCGCAGAGCCAGTTTTTTCCTTTGATGTTAGAAGAGATTGCTCTTCCTTCAGTTGGGTTCAGGTGGTTTGTTCCAGGGCCGTGCTGGAGAAGTATGGTTCTTTACAGATTCGTTTCACACTTGGTGCAGAAACCTATACCGAGATCCACTGGAAGAAATAGCCAGTTCAAATCTTACAGTTTACTCCAGGGCGTATACTCATCGATGGGATGCTGAGTAAAATCATCCATACTATTTGAAGCTCTGTTTTTAGAAAACCATTCATGCTTTGTGTTTATTTTTGGTTTCATGGGTAGTAAAAACTGAGTAAATGAAATGTGTATATGCCACACGCAGCTCCACTGTAAGATAAGTTTACACCAATGCTGTATCATCCAGAAGCCACCGAGCCTTTGCTTCTCCTCGGGATAGGTAGACGTCACTTGTTTCCCGGAAAATATTAGTTATCTCCCGGGTTGTTGTATCAGTAACTTAAATTATACTTTCCCTTTTCTCACTTCCTTTACCTCATTTGTTGAGCAGACATAAAAGCCTGCTCTGTTCTGGGCCTGGTGTTAGGCTTGGGGGTTCAGAAGTGAGTAACATGACCCCCGTCTTCAGAGCTTAACACTGTAACGGGGACCAGCACGTGCAGAGTCACAAGACGACACGACATACACTGTGTTCATTGCAGATTTAAATACTCATATTCCTTGGGTATTTCAAAAGTCACCCCACAGATATTGGTAGTTGTTCAAATTCATTTATACGATGCTTTCAAATTTCTAAAAATAGTGGCTTCTTTGGACCAGATAATACTTTGTTGTGGGGACTGTCTTATGCATTGGGGGTTTTAGCAGGTAACAGCGGCCCCCCACCTCCAACTGAAAGCGTCTCCAGACATTGCCAGGTGTTCCCAAGTGGCAGAATCGCCTCTGGCTGAGATCCAGTGTCCTAGAGGAAGGGGAGGGCAAGCTGGGTGGCAGGGCCTCTCCCGAGAGAGGACGCAGACAGGGACCAGAGGACAAGGCCCGCAGGCCATAGGAGGGGCTCAGGGACTCCTCTCCATTCCCCCAAGGCTTCCATTGTGAGTAAACGGGAGAACAGGTTAGCTTCAAGCAAGTTGTATAAAGCATATTCATCTTAAAAATAAAACATGAATTTATAGAATAAATTCAGAAGTCAGAAAATACTCTGAGATCAGTTCTAGGGCCTTTGAAAAATATTTTGGAGATGCAGCTTGGCCTGTGTGTTACCTGCTTACGGAGTCCTGTTTTTGTCCTCTCTGGTTCCGTTATGGTTTTCTCTTGTACGTCATTTTGCCATTGTGCACTGTAATGACATCGTCATTTTCTTCCCTTTTCCCATCAAGTCATTCTGCCGGCAGGGCTCAGTCTCTGAGCTCCTGCTCTCGCTGCTTTCTTCTTGGACAAACTCTGTCAGCCGCCGGCCTGCTGTCGCATATGTAAAATCTGCTCCTGTGTCCGCTGTCACTGTATGTGTTCTTGTTGCATGCCCTTTGCCACGGTAGTTCTGTTTTCTTTGCCATGAATGCATTGGAGCGATGATTACACTAGAGAAAAGCAGGACTAGATTTTGAGAAATAATGGATAGCAAACCCAAAATTTTGCCAACCACATTGAAGCATTTTTATAGCATTCCATGTCATGTGATTGTATTGATATTTGTATTTGGTTGCTATAACTTACTTGGTTGGCTACTTATATCTTACCTTATAGCCAACTATCTACAGAGCATGTCATGATGACAAGTTAAATTAAGTTGATTTCTATCATTTTGTTAAATGTGTCCATTTAAGTTTTGTGACTTTTGAGATATATCAAATTTGCTCAGAAAGTTATCTATGCCCATCATAGCTTTATGATTAATTACATGTCTTTTGAATGACAAAAGGTACTAAGGAAGGCAGAGGCTTTGTAGAATTGTTGAAATTTTTGTTGTGAATTTTATTATGATACCACTAATAAAATTCCATGAAATACCCTAAATTTTGTTTTGATCCCACTAATAAATTCCATATAATATCCTAAGTTTTGTTTAGTTATAACAAGTATATTATTTAAGTCCACACTGAAGAGATGAAGTAAACGGGAACGGATGAAGTCAAACCATTTTTTAAATGTGAAGCTACGAGGTAGTCATTAATATTATGAATAGCGGTAAAGTCATCACAGGATTGGGGCTAAGATCCATTTCCAACGACAAACATAATTTGAAAATATTTTAGCAAATGAAATTTCCTGTAACAAATCCTTATGACCTTAAAGATTACAATTCATCAGCCCTTAAAGATTTTAAACCCCCCAAACCCTACACTAACATAGGAATGCTATTTTCTATTCTCAGTTAACAGACTAAACAGAAATTTAAGTTACGATGGCAAGATACAGAGTAGGTCTATATTTAACATACATTTTCTGATATTTTCTAATCTTTTCCTTATCTGGTTAACAAAATACAGTCGTTAAGTGCTGCTGCTTCTCAAACCACCCATGTCAGCTGTTTTCCTCTTCTGTTCATGGTTCCTCATTAAATTGCTGAGGCTTTAGAGCACCTGGCTCTAGTTTTTATTTCTAACAAAGGCTGAATAGAACAACATGGGGCTTAGGATGTTGTTTTTACAAGTTATTGTTAATTGTTGACAACATAAATAGTTGATAAGAAAAGAACCCTTGAAAGCACAAAATCAGGTTTAGAGAATATTTATTAGGTGGAAAAGAACTTGTTTTTCTGCCAGATATTATTTATACGTATATAAGAATATCGCCTTTTGAACACATCATTTTACCTAGTCATAGATAGTTTAGAATAAATTCCAAAAAATAGAATTGCTAAGCCAAAGGATACATGTGTTTATAAATTTGTAAATGTCGTATGAGCACTTTTTCTTCTCTAGGAGTTCTAATCTATATCCTACTTGCAAATGAGGGCCTGTTACTCTGTAGCCTCACCAGTGCAGTTTTTCATCAAACTTCTTTTGTTGTTTTTGCACTAATGGTTGAAAAAGATTTTCCTATGGCTTTATTTTGTATTTTTCTTACAATGATGGAGGTTGAGCCATTTTGTTTTCTTTTCTATGAACTATATATAATCATGTCTTACATTTTTCAGTTTAAAGTAGGAATTGTTATTTTATAATACAAAAAGAGAAGAGGAATTTGAGGTGACCACCTTTTTGATTTATTGTTAACAATATAAAATTGGCCTTATTCTTTTTGGATACACACGTGTACATGAATATAACATAAAGGTTTTTTCCTTTTCTCTAAAACAAAGTTTGGGAGTAATCAGTCCAAACCAGAGTTCACGGTGGACCTTAAGGGGGCAACGATTGAGATGGCTTCAAAGGATAAATCCAGCAAAAAGAATGTATTTGAGGTAATAAATTATTCTCTCAGTATAATCCACATTCTTAACCATAGTAACTTCATGTTCTGTTTTGAGTTATTTCGGGAAATGGTCTTTCAGTGTGACTAGTTAAGGCAAAGTTAGTCATTAAGTTACTTTGTATCATAATTTAAGGAAAAAAGCTGGTGTAAAGATCTGGCTTCATTTGCATAAGTCACTGGATCTCCGAAGATGTATTGCAAGCCTTTGTTCCACAAGTCGTGCCTTTCCCCAGCAACAATAAAAGGGTGTGGTTCTCTTTGCCTACCAAATCTAATATTAAAAAACAAATTAAAACCTTCCTATTTGTCATTAAAAGCCCTCCGCGGTCATGCATGATCGTGTATCAGTTACTTATTGCTGCCTAACAGACCATCCCCAAACTTAGTAGCCTGAGGAGAGAACCGTTTTGCTTGTTCGGTTTGGCCTGTGCGGAGCTGAATGGTTCTTCTGGTCCCACCCGGGACCAGTCACCTGGCTTCAGTCATCCAGTGGCCTGACTGGGGCTGGACGGTCTAGTTCCCCCCTCCGGGTTGGTGCCAGCTGTTGGCTGGGCCCCCGGTCACCGTCTCTCCTCCTGAAGGAGGTGACCCCAGGCTTCTTTACATGTCAGGGTTCCAGGGGAGCCAGAGTGGGAGCCGCAAGGCTTCTTGGGGACCGGATGTAAGAGTCAAACAGCAGTGTGTTCTGTGGCTTAAAGCATGGTCCCCCTGCTGGTGGAGGGGCAGCAACACTGCACAGGGCTGCATATGCAGAGGGCAGGGGGCAGAGGGCGCTCGGACCGTCTTTGCAAAGAATCTCCCCTGTCTCAGGGCTTTCCTACTTGTCGTCTAGGCAGATTAGAACAGTTGATATTTCCTAAGTGGAACCCGGGTTTTCCTGTCTTGATGGTTTTCACTCCTGATGGATCTGGCTTTAATACCAACGGCTGCTAGTGTCTCCTTGTCAAATGTTCCCTCTCTTCCAAGACCCACAAGAAACATTACCACAGCACAGATGCTGCTGCTTTATGCTTTTAACGTAGCACTTGTTCTCATGTACGTGGAGCTTTCATCATCTGTAAATTATTCCCCCGCTAGATCATTAAAAACATTTTCTTTTCAAGCGAAGAGACTGCATGTTTTTCCTTGTCTTTACAAAGTGAGACCCCCTAACAGAGTATCTTGGCCCACTCTCTAGAAGAAATGCAGGAAAGGAAGTCACTGTTACCTGGGGTAGCCTTGTTTCATTCCAGAATGAGGAAGGTCCCATGGTCAGATAAATTTGGGAAACAGTATATATTTTATTCCTCTGTTAGGAAGTCACGGTGCACCCTGCAAGAGCAAAACTCCGAGAAGTCTTGAAGGATAGAGTCTTGTTTAGCTCTTTTCAATCCAGCACTTCCCAAATTAACATCACATAATGAGTTCTTTATTTTTTTTGAGGAATGCCTTTTAAAACATTACTTCAGGAGTTGTTTGAGGAATATATCTCAGAATGTTGTTTGGGAAACATTGCCATATGTTCCTCTAGGAAAAAGAAAACCAGACACTTAGCAAACAGAAAAGAGAAGGAATGATTTCTATAAATACCTCAAAATTCTTCCTCAGTCAGGTGTGAGAAACTTTGAACCCAGGAGATCATAAATAAATGGGTTATTGCGTTCTTGTAGAATCATATATCGTGTCCTTACGTTAGTTAGTTCATGATTTTACAATTTAGTGATGTTTCTGTCCAGAAGGCTTGTGATGTTTATTGTCTGTGCCCTCTCTTTGTACCAAGTCATTATAATTTCCTGTTAAATAGTCAATATTGAAAGTCTAACTCTTGTATATTCTCTTTCTATATAGATTTTTTTTAACCAGAGAGAGAAATTCTCAAATTTATGTTAAAATATTATAGATTTTATTTCTTAACAAATTATGTTTCAATTCTCATTTAAAATGCACAGCATAGGTACTTGAACTTATTTTTTAATGATAAAGTATTCTAGATTCCAGCAACTTTTATGTTGTTTGTGTGACGGAGTTTGGGATCCTAAATTATTAGATTTTCATTGAGAATTTACTGTGAGAAAAACGTCATGTTTTGTAAAATTATCCAGCTGGTATTCTTTTATACTAAAATAAAAGATAATTCCATCACTGTGGAGTACCGTAACCTTTCCACTATTAATATGATATATGGCATCCAGTCTTCTGGTGGTTTTGTAGACTTCGAATTAAATGTATTTATTTACTTCACTGAAAGCACTAACCATGCTTTTTTTTTTTTTCCTTCTTATCGCTAAAGCTGAAAACCCGTCAAGGAACAGAACTGCTGATTCAGTCTGATAATGATGCTGTTATCAATGAGTGGTTTAAAGTTCTTAGTAGCACTATCAGTAATCAGGTATGTGTTTGACTCAGGTAAATTTTTTTTTTAACTTTAGAGCTGTTTCTCTTGTTTTGTTTTTTTGGCTTTCTAACTGGTTATTATATATCTACTTTCCAATTTATATTAAAAAAGTACTTTTTAAAAATACATATTTTGACAGAGGTAGGAAAGATAGTGATTAGTTTAGCAATTCGCAGGGGCTGATGGGTGATTTAACATTGTCGTTTATAGGATTTTGCCACCAGTAGATTTCACATAACTTTTTTTTTTTTTTTTGCGTTTCGTGGGCCTCTCACTGTCGCGGCCTCTCCTGTTGCGGAGTACAGGCTCCGGACGCGCAGGCTCAGCGGCCATGGCTCACGGGCCCAGCCGCTCCGTGGCATGTGGGATCTTCCTGGACCGGGGCACGAACCCGTGTCCCCTGCATCGGCAGACGGACTCTCAACCACTGCGCCACCAGGGAAGCCCTCACATAACTTTCACATGAGGCATTGGTTCAAAAAGAAAATAGCTCAGGAGGTAGGGACGGTCTAACTGTGCCTAGTATGTAGTATTTATTCATGGAGTGAATGCTTTGGAAATCATCCTATTTGGTGGAAACAGATCCTGAGCAAAATGGTGAGATGCATGACGCTGTCGTCTTGTCATCTGTACTTTTTCTTTCCTAGTGACCTTTCTACTCAGAGTACCCTCATGTTCCTGGAAACTTTCTTCTCGTGTATTACAACCAAAAAGAACCTCGCATTTATATTCTGAAGCTGTGTTTGTAAGAGCAGTAATAAACAACTAGAAGCTGTACTTTCTTAGACTGTACTCTTACCCCCTCACCGTATGGGGGACATGATTCCTGATTAAGGATCATGTATCAGTGACAGAAGTGAAATGAAAGTGAATACTTACAAGAGTATGTAATACAGGTTTTAAACTAAATGGAGACAAAAAAAAGTTTGGGAATCACTGGCTTTAGTAGAGATGGAGATGTCTTTCAGAGACTTTATAGGTGATGCTTCATTATTAATAAGGTTTGTGATTGTATCAAGGTGTTCTCCTTCTGTGAGTCTCAGTTTTTCTACTTAAAAAAAAAAAGAGAGAGATTGCACTGGATTGTCTCCAAGTATCCTTTTAAGCTCCAGAATTTTATGATTCACCCAGAGTTCACGTCACCCACATTGGGGATTGGAGTATTCTTTAACTCTTCCGCCTCCACCTTTTACCTCTTCTAGCAAATTATCTACCAATCTAGATGTGAATTCTTCCTTTGCACTTTGTAATACTGTGTGATATTTCTGAACCTTGTCCCTTTCTTTCCATTTATTCCTGAAACCATGGACAGGCCTTTAAATGTTGATATTAAGAGTAACCTCCTACACAGTTTTCCTTATTTCATCTCATCCCCCACCAATGCACTGTTAATGCCACTACTGTATGAAACTTCCTGATGTCACTTTTATAATCCTCCCCTGCACAGAAACCTTACGTGACTCCTGTTAGAATTCAACAACCTGAGCCCAATCTTTTCAAATGCACCTTCTACTCTACCCAGTACAGGCTTGCAGGTCTAGTCACTGTAATGTGCTCACTACCCCTTGAAAGCAAGGGTGGCTGCGTCCATCTCACACACATGTGAGTGCCTTACGCACTGGGGTATAGCAGCGTGCAACCAGATGCTGCACCTAATGCATGGAGCTTACAATCAAAGACAGAAGATTACTGAGGACAGACAACTGAACAGTTAATATAATGAACATATAAAAACTCTGATTAAGTAGGGGCTAATCTAGTGTAGGGATCAAGGGAGGCCTTGCAGAGAAAGTGGCATTTTTAATTAAGGCCTAAGGGTTCAGGGAATAAGCCAACTGAAAAGAGAGGAACATATAATTGACTCTAAAAATTTTAAATGTGTACTGTTTACAAAGTGGCAAAAGATACTGAGGGCAAAGAGATGGGCAAGATTACAAAACTTTATTAAGAGACATTGACAGAAACTTAGATGAGAAGTATGTCCATGGATTAAAAAATTCAATTATGTAGAGATATAATATTCTTCCAAATGGCTTATAAATTTGTAGGTTTGAGATTTTTGAATCTCATTCAAAATCCCAGTAGGTTTTCTGGTGGAACTTGACAAACTTATTCTAAAATTCATATAGAAATGCAAAGGGCTAAGAATCTGCAAGACACCTTTGAAGAAGACTTGCTGTAGCGTATGTCAGGACCTTATAAAGCTGTGTATCCATAATGGGATAGATATACAGACCTGTGGAACAGAATAAAGAGCCTGGAGACAGACCCACGTACCTTTGGACACTCTGTGCCAGGTAGAGCATGTGCTGGGTCAGCTGGATGTCTGAGAAGAATTGGAGCCTTTCCTTACACTGTGCACAAAAATAAACTCTGGGTGGAGAGAGGACCTCAGAGTAAAAGGCAGAGCAGTGTTTTTAGCTTTGAGAATTCAGTCCGCTTTTTAACTTGTAAAAGTGACCGTAGTTAGGCTGTAAATGAGTTCTAGGTTTTCTTTCGATTCCTGATATCCGTAGGTGTGTGAGTAATGAGTAATGTCAATTAACTGTTGACACAAAGTGCAATTTTAAAAGATTATTGGTGTGAAGCAATTAAGGTACCATTGCTAGTTAGTTTTATCTGTCCTATTATCAACAATGTACCATCATCCTGTTCTATCACCACAGATTATATAGCCCAACCTTTTAACTGTTATTACTTGTCACTTGATCAAAATGAGGCAAGATAGCATCACCATCAGTACAAGCGCATTATCCTTGTGAACTATCAGTAATTTTTTCTTTATCGAAATTCAGTTAATGCCATCAATGCGGGTGGGGGGAAGAGTATTTTTAAAGATTTATCAAATATCTAAATCATATATATTAATTGGTTCCCTAAAATCATTTGGAAGAGTTGATTACTGATCATTCTGAGAATTACATCTAAAGTAATAGCAAAAGTAATATGTGTTTGGAAAATCTCTAACCAACAGACAGTAGAACCCGATGAAGCGATTGAGGAGGACATACCAGATTCACCAGGAATAGAAAAGCACGATAAAGAAAAGGACCATAAGGATCTGAAGAAATCGCGTTGTAAGTTTTCTTTCCCGGTGTTGCTAGTGGTTTGAGTGAGCTTATTCTCTTAGCAAAGGTTTACAGTAAATATATGAAAGCTGAGTGGACTCTCCAGTGTTGCAAGACTTGTAAGATTCAGGAGTTGCAGTCTCAGTGGTTCAGTGTTTTCTCTCCTCGTTAACTCAATCTTTTTTTTTTTTTTTTTGCGGTACTCGGGCCTCTCACTGTTGTGGCCTCTCCGGTTGCAGAGCACAGGCTCCGGATGCGCAGGCTCAGTGGCCACAGCTCATGGGCCCAGCCGCTCCGTGGCACGTGGGATCTTCCCGGACCGGGGCACGAACCCGCGTCCTCTGCATCGGCAGGCGGACTCTTAACCACTGCGCCACCAGGGAAGCCCAACTCATCATCACTTTTCAGCCTAATCGTATGCACCCTGATGGCATCATATTAATTTTAAGATATTATGATACCCTTTCAAGAGAAAAAAATGCGCACAGCAGAATGCGCTTGTGTGGAGGCCTCTAGGAAGCTGAACTTTATTGATTGGAAAATATATAATTACTGTTTAAGATTCTAGATAGACCCTTAGACATTAAGAAGTCAGAAGTCACGGGATATGTACCATAGTTCCCTACTGGATGCCAGGCAGCCGCCTCTAGACTGGGGTATGTCTGTGCATTTCATCTCCAGACCACATATTATGTGTACAGGACCAGAGAAACGCCAGAAGTTGTAAGGATTTCATTTTCTTTCCTTTTTTTTTTTTTTTTTTTTGCCACTCCATGCTGCATGCAGCATCTTAGATGGAACCCGTGCCCCCTGCAGTGGAAGCACGGGAGTCCTAACTAGGGGGCCGCCAGGGAAGTCCCAAGGATTGCATTTTCTAACACAGGCCTCTTGTGAATTATGTGCTTTAGGCCATTACCCGTGACTTGAACCTGCTTAAATCTATTTGAACAAATCCACATTTAACTGAGAAATTTTTGGTCTTCACATTAACTGAATGATTAGAAAATCAGTTCTCCTTTTTTTCTCCCACATTCTTATGAAGTTTAGGCCTATCACTGACACCGTCACTGTGTAATAGTGTAAACCACGAAACTTCTGTTGTTTTAATTCTTTACTAATATATTGTTTGTGCTCTCAACTTTCTTCAAATATGGTTATTTTCAAGAAATTTACTTTCTGAATTTTTACTGTTGTAACCCAGAGAGAAATCAGGTCTGCAGGCAATGTGGAAATCCAGGTGGTCCCATCCTTAGCTCGGAGTAGAGATAATTATGATGAGTCTTAGCGTGAAGTACAAATAATTGTGATGGATATTTATACATATATATCCCCTGACTCCTAGTTCAGTGAGTATGGGGAAGGGTAGGGATTTTGTTTATGTTTTATGGGTTGGTTACTTTATTTTTTGCTGGTCATTTTACCATCTAAACCTGATGGAGAGTCCAAGACTATATCATCTGTGAAATAATGAATATAAATTAGAATGACTTACAAATGTCTTGGCACATATACTAAAGAAGGCATAGTTTGTGGTCAGTGTTTAGTGATAAAAATGAAATGTTTCATTTGGTTTGTCACTTTGAAATTGTGTTAGTTTTTGATTCTTCATGTGTTACTCTTAAACCGTATTAAAGTTAGAAAAACTGAATTTATATACTGTGATTTTTTATATATGAGATTAATATGTTTTGAGTACTAGGTGGAAAGATTTTCATCAAAAAGCCTTTATTTTATAAAATGCTTAATATCTATCTGTCTTAAGCCACAAAAGTATCTAGCATAGATTCTTCAGAACAGAAAAAAACCAAGAAAAACTTAAAGAAATTTCTTAGACGACGCCCCACTTTGCAAGCTGTTCGTGAAAAAGGTTATATTAAAGGTAGGTAGAAGTGATGTTTATAGTAATGAACTTTGGCCCAAATCGGAAATAAGACATTTTACATTAAAAGCTGAAAATTTTCCAAACAGTAAAAATGTCTCATTCTTTATTCATAAAGTTATCAGGTTCAGTGATTAAAATACATTTGAGTAATTAAAATTGATTTTTTAATGCACATGAAGAGTTTATTTTAACTAAAGCATCGAACAGATATAAATACCAAATTAGCTTTTTAGAAACCCTGTACCAGAGGAGCTACGTGAATGTGATGGGATGGTGTGGCAGATTTTCAGAATGACAGATGTTTAGTTTTGAGATGCACAGATCAGAAGAAATTTCAAGTAATCACTAGCTGTAGAAAGAAAAAATAATGTACAATTTTATTCTCGATTGTTTGCCTTCAGTTCTCATTTAAGGTAATTTTTAAATTAGGATAAAGTGTTTTTTTCTAACTAATTTTTACATTTTATTTTCATGTATAAGAACCGTAATATACTAACAGAATTTTTTCTTAATAGGAAAGTATTCTTTAGAATCACATACACTTGTATATATATACCTTTAGTTTTTACAAGCATGTTTAATTCCAAAGATAAAATTTTCTAACACATGACTCAAAACAGAGACATTTGTTCATAATAAAACTGTAGGAAAAGGTAACATAATTTATACCATATATATTAGAGCTGTCTTTGATTATGAAGTTTCTAACAAAGACCATTGCAGAAACATCTGTTATGCAAAGCATCTAGATTAAAATACACAAATGAGTTTCATTAAAAAGCTATTTAAAACTTCTAGGAAGAGTTCAGCTAATTAAGTGATTCAGATTAGCAGCCTTAAAGAGTTAAGGGTAAGCAGGCACCCCCAGATAATGCACGTGAATTTAGCATGTTGAGCTTAGAACCTTCAAAAAAGCCTCACAAATAAATGGATAGAAACTGCTGCTCATTCTTCGTCAGACCATTTCAATGAGAAATACAAACTTGCCACTTTCTGGTGGTGTTCATCCACTTCAAATACTGTATTTTATTTGTTTTCCTGAATATTTAGCACTAATGTGGAATTTCAAAACTGTTGGGTTGAAAGATTACTAGAACAGACTTTGATATATTTTGTGAAATCAGATGTTGGCACACAATGGGCATGTTTTTTTTTTTGTTTTTTTGAATTTTATTTTATTTTTTTATACAGCAGGTTCTTATTAGTTATCCATTTTATACATATTAGGGTATATATGTCAATCCCAATCTGATGGGCATGTGTTGTTTTGGGGTTTTTTTGCGGTTCGCGGGCCTCTCACTGCTGTGGCCTCTCCCGTTGCGGAGCGCAGGCTCAGCGGCCATGGCTCATGGGCCCAGCCGCTCCACTGCATGTGGGATCCTCCCAGACCGGGGCACGAACCCGCGTCCCCTGCATCGGCAGGCAGACTCCCAACCACTGCGCCACCAGGGAAGCCCAGATGGGCATGTTTTAATAGTTTAAAAAATATTTGAGTATTTGCTAAGTGGTGGACTTGAGCCTCAGTGCTGGGAATACCTGTTGGCATTCAAGAATGAGAGGGTCGGGCTTCCCTGGTGGCGCAGTGGTTAAGAATCTGCCTGCCAATGCAGACAACACAGGTTCGAGCCCTGGTCTGGGAAAATCCCACATGCCATGGAGCAACTGGGCCCGTGAGCCACAATTACTGAGCCTGCGCGTCTGGAGCCTGTGCTCCGCAACAACAGAGGCCGCGATAGTGAGAGGCCTGCGCACCGCGATGAAGAGTGACCCCCACTTGCCACAACTAGAGAAAGCCCATGCACAGAAATGAAGACCCAACACAGCCATAAATAAATAAATAAATACATTGTGTATTATTTAAAAAAAAAAAAAAAAAAAAAAAGAATGAGAGGGTCCCTGCCCGCATGAAACTTCTATAAAGATGAGAGACAGACAAGGTAATTTAGAATAATGGTGACTTACGTGAAGAATCTGACATAGTGATAAAACAGAGAGTGACTGGAATTGGGCTACCTTAGGATGGTCAGAGGGTTCTTAAAAGGAGGTGGCATTTTAGCTGAGACCAGGAGTGGTGAGAAGGAGCTCCGTTTGGGGGAAGGTTGATCTCTGCACAGGAGGGGAAGGTAAGAAGGGAACAAGGCAGGAATGAAGGAGGGTGTTCTTGCAGCTTGGAGTCAGAAGAGGTAGGCGAGTGCAGATCAGATAGGCGTGCGTTGTGGTGAAAGTGTCTGCATGCAGGGGTATCTTCTGTTGCACTGTGAATCATTTAGCCATTTTGTGAACTAAAGTTTAGCAAGGTGACTCATTTCTTGAAATCTCTTTCAGATCAGGTATTTGGAGCCAATCTTGCTAATCTGTGTCAGAGAGAGAATGGCACCGTGCCAAAATTTGTGAAATTGTGCATTGAACATGTTGAGCAATATGGTAAGAAAATGAATTTTTTTTTAAAGTTAAGCACACCACCCATTGTTTTGCCATCAGAATCCCTAGGATTTTTATGATTTTGAGTGTTGCAACCAAAAGTTCTTTATAGTCGTAAGTTGTCAAGAAAAGCATCTTTTTTGCAAAAAACCATTTTTTTTGCATTGTTTCAAATTAAGGCCTTTGCAGTCATCTATTGCATGTTCAGTACTTAGGGTTGATTCAGCATATGGTATTCCTTGAAGCCACTGGGAGTTGTTGGCATTTGCTTAAAATGGACGTGGTGATTGTGAAACTGTATTTATTAAGAAATGATCCAGCAGTATAAGAGACAGGAGGAGATAGTGTTTACTTACTAAGGGGAAGTTTCTTCTGTTTATAATAAAAATGAGATGACATTCCCAAACTGCTAAATCAACTCTGAAGTGTGCAAATAGACAAATCCTCTTTATGTCATTTCCTGTACTTCTGAAGACTTAAACTAATTTCTGTTTTGGTTAATTTTAACATGTTTATAATATTTATACTAGCTTTTAAAATAACAGTATCTTGACTGCAGTCCCATTAACTTATATCAGTATATCATCAAAAATATCTTGTGTAATTAAAATATTTGCATAAAATGTAATTTCTGCTAGTCACAGGTCTCTGACTCTCAGCCTGACAATAGAGATGCCATGCTACTTGGCTTTACTAGAAGTTAAGTGAGTAGCACATTAGATAATGTTAAGTGTGTGCATCATTATCATTTAATGAATGTATGAATTTTGGGGCTTCATTTTGTGAATTTCAAATGATTCTGTTTCACCTATAAAAAAAGTTAATAACTATCAAATTATCAGTTGTTATAGAACCATTGTTTTAGTTGCTGGCTTGTATTGTTTATTTATTACAAGCACTTAACAGGACAAGCAGTTTGATTGAGAGAGCACCTTAATATGTACATTTACACTCTCAAATGACGTGCCAGGAAACGGGTGGGCTGATTTTATTTACTGCCTTCCTTTACTTTTTGAATTATCTTCAGGTGTTTGCCGAAGTTCATCTTAAATTGCTAGTATTTCAAGTTTGAGATGATTTCCTTGAGATGGTAATCCACAGTCTACATGATAAAGTAGACTTGTTGCTGTTTACCAGACAATTCAGAGTGAATCTCCACCCCTCTCTCACTGCCAAGCATCTATAAAAAGCCATTTAGAGGAAGAGAGTAATTTTATTTTAGGCTAATGTTAATAAGTAAGAATTCTAAAACATGAAAGCATCTTTAGAAGAAGCCAACAAGAATTTTAAACATAAAATTATTGTTATTTGTCTCTTAGGGTTGGATGTTGATGGGATTTATAGAGTTAGTGGCAACCTTGCAGTGATCCAGAAGCTGAGGTTTACAGTCAATCATGGTAAGATCATATATTGTTATATACAGAATAAATAATTCATGACTGTTAGAAGTGGTTTAAAATAATTTCAGAAACTTTCCCGTTCCTACTGTTTTCCAGATGAGAAATTGGACTTGAAGGATAGTAAATGGGAAGATATTCATGTCATCACTGGAGCACTGAAAATGTTTTTTCGAGAATTACCAGAACCTCTCTTTACATTTAATCATTTTAATGATTTTGTTAATGCAATTAGTAAGTATGTAATTAATTCCACTCAGTTTTTTCCCTATATGTTGAAAACCCTCTGGAGCTGCTACAACACTGATATTTTAAACCAGTTTTTTCAAAGGATTGTTTTACTCCAGAAATTTTAAATGTAACCACCAGGTGTCACTGTGTATTACCAAATACCAGGTTCCAAAATAATGTCACTGCTTTCAGTTTCATACAAAATCTCCAGTCATTGTCTTTTTTCAGAACAAGAACCAAGACAGCGTGTCTCTGCTGTGAAGGATCTAATCAAACAGTTGCCAAAGCCAAATCAGGACACAATGCAGACTCTGTTTAGACATCTCAAAAGGTAAGAGTCTCACCACAAAAGAGAAGGAGTAATTAGGGGGAAAAAGAAGGTCGGAGAAGTGCACAGGTATGAGATGTGGTGTAGGACTCCGGGGGCCAGGGCCATGCAGACCTAGGTTCAGAGCCCCGCTGTGCTGCTCTTGTGTTTGTAACATGAGAAAGATGACTTCTCTGAGCCCCAGTTCCTCGTAGGTAAAACAGTTTGGTATAAAGAATACACTGAAGTAGATTTCATATGTGAAGCATTTATATAATGCCTAGCACGTAGTAAGCGTTCAGAAATTGTTGCTAAGTTAGTTATGATGAAGATGAGATTGGTTAAGTGAGGAATATTCAGTTACCTTGAAGTCAAGGTAATTAGGTCTAAGTTACTACATAGTCACTCTGAAACTTCTGATAGAACACGAGATTACTAAAATAAGTGATCACAGTATGAGAGATTTTTTAAAAAAATAGCACAAAATGAGTAAAATGCAAAGTTTAATCTCTGTGCCCTAATGATATTTCCCCCGTCACCCTAGCGGAGGAATCATTGTTACCTGCATTGTAATAGGTATTCAAGTCTATGTCTTATTTTTACAACTAAGCTGAAATATCACACATTTAAAGTTTGTGAGAATATGTATACCTTTCAGCTGTGTTTATGCAAAAGAAAGCTTTATGTGCTATTCAGACTGAATTCTATTTGGTTAAATAGTTTATATGTACCTTAGGAAAATGAGCATTTATTTCTCTTTTCTAAATGCAAGCTGTTTATAATATTTTTTGAAGAATTTCCCCTATTTAAAAATTTTCTCTTTTAACAATTTTTGTTTTTCCTCTTAGAGTTATAGAAAACGGAGAAAAAAACAGAATGACGTATCAGAGTATAGCAATTGTGTTCGGTCCTACTCTGTTAAAGCCAGAGAAGGAGACTGGCAACATAGCAGTTCATACCGTCTACCAGAATCAGATTGTAGAGTTAATTCTTCTCGAGATAAATTCCATCTTCGGACGTTGACTCTTACTGAAGACAACCTGTGGAATAGAAGCCGGATTTCATCAGATTCCAAGTCCTTATACCTGATGTATTTTATGTTTGGACCAAGCAGTGACTCTTTGATTTTGCACTTTTCTGAGGGATCGGAAGGGAATGGGAGAGTCCAGATGTGTGATAGGCCCTCATATTTGCTGCTTTGTTGCAAGTTGATAGAACTGTGTGTACATTTGAATTAATTTTATCCTGAATGTTTGCATTTCATACTCTGAATTTCAGTAAAAATCAAAACTTGTGATTCTAACCAGTCATATACACTGGATAATTTGGTAAGAATACTACATTTTTTCTCCTCAAACTGGATAACGTAGAATTTCTTCTCATGATTCAGTAGGTTCATCACTCGATAGAACAATACTTACTATCACCTATTTTGAAAACGCTCCTGGGCATTTTAAACAAAATGAAGTATATCTGTTTTGAAACCTGTGTTGTTTTTTTTCCGGGTTTCTGCATGCAGTGGCAGTCTGATTGCTAGGACCCATTATAACCCAGATGTGATCCCTCGATGAAGGCTTGCTGTCTTTACGGAGTAGCACAGCAGCATACTAATAGTACTTAAAACACTGTGATATACTGGAGTTTAATTTAGCATAAGCCAGTTCAGGGTATTTTGGGGCTGTCTGTGCTACACTGACTTGTAGCTAACAATCCTAATCTACCTAGTGCCATACTGAGTTCTTGGTATGATCCTGTGGAAACCAACGTTATTTGATGTAAATACAGGCTAAAGACTCACTGTCCTTTAGCTTATGTATATAATTGTGTTATATAGTCTCAGAGTACATTCTAACCTCTCATTTCTAATCACGATATTGGTAATTCTCCGTGAATATTAGGGTTCCTCCAGAAATAGGCCGTTATTTGAGAAAGTTAACTGTGTGTGCACTTTTAGATTTTAATTACATTTACAGGCAAATCACTGTAATGCAAATGGTACTGGAACAATGCTGAATAGACTTGCTAAATGGTAAATGCACTACAAGAGGAACCTTTTAGATTATTTAATATGTACAGACTACATTAGAAAAAATTTATTACAGAATTCTAACTGCAGTACGAATAGTGGAAACCCATATGTAAATTAGAGGGAAGTCAGATTGAAAATGACATTGCTAAATTTGAGAATTTCTTTTTACATTACTATTGTAGATTGGTTTGTATAATAAAACAGGGTTTGGAAGGTTTTGTTACAGAGAGCATGGTCTGCTGAAGATTTTTTAAAATGTATTTTTCTAGATTAACTGCTGTATATGAAATGTCTAATCTGAATAAAGAAAACTATAAGAGGTTTAGAGATTTTTCCATTGGAAATGTGTATTTTGGTTTATAATTTTGTTTTGTTTTTGCATTTACTGGCACACTCTTATAATACCTCATTTTAAAAAAATCAACTGAATCCAGTACTTCCTGTGGCAAATGTTTTCGTTTCACACCTTTTGTGCTCCCTGCCATGCCAGTGCCTCTGCCACCACCCCTCCCAACCCCTCCCACCCC